CTCGAGTTTTATAAAACGATCTTTGAATTTTATAAAACGATCTTCGAGTTTTTATAAAACGATCTCTCGAGTTTTATAAAACGATCTCTCGAGTTTTATAAAACGATCTTCGAGTTCTTATAAAACGATCTCTCGAGTTTTATAAAACGATCTCTCGAGTTTTATAAAACGATCTCTCGAGTTTTATAAAACGATCTCTTGAGTTTTATAAAACGATCTCTCGAGTTTTATAAAACGATCTTCGAGTTTTATAAAATGATCTCTCGAGTTTTATAAAACGATCTTCGAGTTTTATAAAATGATCTCTCGAGTTTTATAAAACGATCTCTTGAGTTTTATAAAACGATCTTCGAGTTTTATAAAACGATCTTCGAGTTTTATAAAACGATTCTCGAGTTTTATAAAATGATTCTCGAGATTCATAAAACTGTTGCGTTTACGCGTTTGCGGGGAATTTTGGCTATTGATTCCGGCATACCGATTTTGACCGCAACAAGCTTGTGATCGGTTAAGCTCACTGGTTCCTTCATGCGAATCACTTCTTTCATCTCAGACTTGAGGCCATTGAAGAACACTTTGATCATTTTTTCCCATCCACTCTAGTGACTTGATTTCTCAAAGCCTCAAACTCATTAACGTAGTCTATAATATCACATTCTTGCCTCAAACAGAACAGTTTCGTAGCAGGATCATTATCAATCCGTCCACCAAATCTGTCTAACATCCTTCTTGTGAACTTTTCCCAATTCAAGAACGGATCACTGAGCATCTCCCCATTGAACCACTGTAACACCGGACCTTCCAGACTCAGTGATACCAAATACATATTGTCCTCCGCATTATAGTTTCCAATCCTGAAAAACCTCTCAACACGCGCAATCCAATCGAACGGTAACAGTCCAGAGAACACATGCATTTCTGATTTACGCAGCATCTTATTATGATTCGCAATAGCATTCTGTATTCCCCGATAACCTAATTGAGATTACTCCAGTTCAGAGAGATTTATCGATACCTGTTCTCGCAATGTTTGTGATGAAGAGGAAATATCCTTTCCAAGCCGTTGGTGAAACAAGCCGCTCTCGTCGATTCGAGTGAGAATCTCCGTAATCACACTCCTTTGCTTCTCCAGTGATTCGAATTTGGAGTTTGACCCCGTTCCAATCGCTTCGGTTTGCTTTTCTATCGAGGTAAATCGCTCTGCCGTGGCTCGTTCATTTCGCGATAGTGAATCATCTCGGACCTTCAGCCAGTTCAGATCATCTTGAAGTCGTTGTAGATTCACCGGTGGTTGTGAATCAGAAAACACCTCATGTTCACTTCCAGTCATCTTCTACGTAGCTCCGATCGATTTTTCCCGCACCAATGATAGAATATAGATCTATGTAAACCGAGAAACACTTGTAATCTTTATTGAATCAATGAATCAGTTACAACTTTGATAGTGAATTAAGCTAAGCTCTCATGACAAACTAGCTCAACACACTCGTCTCATAGCGACGGTGAAGTACATACTCATAACGTCTATAACAAACAACATCAAAGCATAACCAACTCTAACGACTACAACTCTTATTTATAACTCTTTAAGATGTAACTGAAAATCCTCTATTTTAAGTAGAAATTTCTATCCTTCCTTGATCCTCCACGTCATCACTCTCTTCACTCACCACTTCCTTTCCTTTCCTCCTACGGTAGTAACTCCTTTTGAACCTATCAATTGTATTGAGAGAATACCTGAGATTTGAAGAAAGTACATTTATGGCCTAAAGCTATTGGCTTTCTAGACAAAGCCCATGTGTTCTCAGCCAGCTATGAAGGAAGAATTTTTAGTAATAACATTTTACCTGCTACTGAAGACACATACACTATAGACTACAGATGAAACATAGATCAAAACACACATAAAACAGAACAAGAAAAATAGACCAAATATGAAACATAGACCAAAGACAAGCGTTTCACACTAATTACCCAACAAGAAACTGATATCAAGTTTTGCAAACTTACCGAGAGTCTCAAGAAGTGGTTGCCTATCGAGAGCTAAAAGACTGCGAGGCAAAGGGCGTCCATACGAAGACAAAAGTCCCTGACATAATTAACAGCACAATCAACTTCAATACATAGCTAAAGTACAGAGTAAAAATACATAGCTAAAACAAAGAGAGTTTAAATGAACCTTAAGTCATAATCAAAACAAAAGTTAAATACTGAATATGAATTAGCTAAAAGAAATTTAAGAGCACTAATTAAGAAACATGAAATTGATAGCAGAAGGATGAGGTGAGAAAGTTACATATTTGGGAAGTGATCTTGAAGTTGAAGAGATCGTGAGCGAGAGCTGAAAGACACACAGATGAGACGCCGTGACTTACCGAGAGATTCGTTGTCCGTGGTGGATTTCGATCGATCGTCTAACGGAGAAGACCAGAGAATCTGAAGGAGACGCCGTGAGGACGAACAGAGTCGTCAATCGTCGATCATCTCCAGCAGAGTCGATTGCAGAGCAGACGAGAGAACGAGAAAGAGAGAGAATTGATAGAAAAGAAAAACAAAGAGAAAAGAAAGAAAAAAAACAACTCTTTGATTCCTGCTGACACGTGGTTTAAACATCCCTTCTGGATTGGTCCCTAAAAATCCCACTTAAGGATCAGTATCTGGTTTTATAATTATTTTTGATTTAAATTAATTATCTATTTTCTCTAAAAGCCCTGTTAATAAACTGAGATAAACATGGTCTTATTTCTTCATCCTCATTGATGTTAGGATAGAATATCTGCAAAAATAAAATTAAATATAAAATTTTGAACCGGGTATTTTAAAATCAAACCGGATATTAAACATATTCTAAAATACTAAGTATTAGTTAAGCCGAGATTTTCATACCTTGGTCTAAAACATGATCTTGGGTCGTTTGAATGGATATTTAGTTGGGATGTGAATAGAGACGGCGAAGACATCGTTTTTGAACGGGCAGTTGGCCGGTCCGATGAGGTTTGCTTCCCAAAGGAAAAGATTTTCAGGCGAAGTTATTCTTGAACTGACAAGCTTCATAAGGATTTAATCTTGCATTTTAGATTCTTTCAAGAGCCTCTTCTCTCCAAACTGAGAAGCCGATGATCTTATAGACTTAGGTTTGTTAGATGCTGCGGAATAACTATCACAGATTCACAAAAAAAAAAATGTTTATGCTATGTTAAGGTGGAATAACTATCACAGATTCACAAAAAAAGTTTAAAGAGCTGGACGCAAAGTGACTAATCATATGTAGGATTTATGTAGGAAAGTATGAGAAATTCTTGGGTTTATCCCCAACCAATAGGATTTCGTTATTTCATATTCAGTATCTTCTAAAACAGAAAACAAAATATTATCAAGTTATATTATGTTTTTAAAATTAAAAGATAAAAATAAATAAAATAAAAGTAGTTGCAAACAAAAACTTTTTTTAACATTTTTAATACCGTAAAATAAATACCAAACCCTAAACTCTAAATCCTAAACACTTGGATAAATCATAAAGCGATGGATTAATTATAAATCCTGATGAATTAATCATAAATCTCAGGGTTTATGATTTATCCAAGGGTTTAGAATTTATCCAATGGTTTAGAGTTTATAATTTATGATTTAGGGTTTAGTATTTTGCTGACGGAATTAAAATATTTTTTTTTAAAGATAAGGATTTCTGATTTATCCAGGGATTTAAGGTTTACCAAAAAAATTTAAGGTTTAGGATTTAGGGTTTAGTGTTTTGATAATATTATTAAAAAATAATTTTTAAAGGAGTTTTTTTACAACTAGTATTTTTTATCTTTAATTTTAAACACATAATATAACTCGACAATATTTGTGTTTCATTTTTTTAAAAAGTACTAAATATAAAATAACATAATTCTATTGGTTGGTGAACCTAGATGTTTATCTTAAGGGGTGAACCAAAAAATTACTCAGAAAGTATAATTGCATAAGGAACTCACAAATTTTGGAAATTTTGAAAGCCAAAAATCAAACTATAATAATAAATTAATTTACAGCATACTGTTATTCATGTACAAGCAATTAATTTTTGTCAGTTATACACTAAATAATTTCTAGCTTTTTGAAAGTAATTAGTCTCTTCTAATATCTTGAAGATTGTAATACAATCCTAGAACCGAAAAACTACAGTTAAAACAAAATGAATGTTTATGTGTTCCACATATATAAAAATGGATCCTAAAATACACAACAAATAAAAATTTAATTAAAAATATTATCGAAAACCTAAAATTACAACAACAAAAAAATACTCATCAAAATAACATTTTTTTATCATTCCCTTATTTTTATGTCACCATCATCTTATCAATTCAAAATATAAAATTAATTTAGAGTAGTTTTTATCTCCAAAAAATTAGAAAGAATATTCATATTTTGAAGACTAATTGCGTGTAGTGTGGACCAAAACTTACTCTTATTAAAAATCCAAAAGAAAAAACTCAACCCAAGGGACTCTGAACATCCAGCCTAATTGCCACTTTGTACCCAAAAAAAACCCATAAATTCCAGCCCCAAAAGTTAAGAGAATTACAATATTGATTTAGCTTGGAAAAATGCACAATTTCAATAACAAAATTGTGTGGGTCATTTTCAATATTCGAATGACCCAACCGAGTTCGTCTTCTTCCTTAGGCTTAGGCTTTTTCGTGGAATAAGCATATATTGGTCTTATGCTATCGACAGATAGAGCCGACTCTTGACGTGTGCTGGAGGAGTAAAAGCACCGGATCCATCTTATTTTGTGAAAAATTCCTTATAAATTAGGGCCCTGTTTGAGAATTTTCCTTATAAATTGGGGCCCTTTTTCTTGGGAAAGCACCTTTAGAATATTACACATATGCATAAATTTAGTCATCCATATATATATTCTGTACAGGGTCCAATTGATGAGCCGGATATGAGTGGTTTACACAGACCTTGACTTAGCTTTTTATACTATTCAAAGTAAACGTTACCCACTATTTACTTCACAATTGTCCTATGCATAATGCATTGAGTCTTAAGGCCTTGATTGGTATAGCAGATGATAAAGCATTAGCAGTATGCTGTAGAATCAGTATGTTACAAAAGCTGTATGCTTTCATTTAAGTTTTTAATAAAGTGATTGGCAGAGCATTAACAGTATACGATTTTAAAATTGTCATAATAGTTAGTAAAATAATATATATAATATAGATTAATAATATATAATTTTATTAAAATAATGAATTTTCATTATATAAATTATATTTAAAATTTTAAAATTTATTTTAAAAATATTAAATGATTTTTGGATATAAACATATTACTCATATATAAAATTATAATTATAATTTAAATAATTATTATTAAATTATAATTATTATTATATAAATAAATTATATTATATATATGAATTATAATTAATTTATATATAAATTATTATAATTTATTTATTGGTAGAGCACTAAATTATCCATATATAAAATTATAGTTATAATTTAGTTAATTAATTATTAAATTATAATTATTATTAAATAAATAAAGAAATAATTTATATTATATATATAATTATAATTATGAAATATTCTTCTTTTAAGAAAAAATAATTATAATTTTATTTTTAATTATAATTATGAAATTATGAAATTATAATTATGAAATATAATAATAATTATGAAATTATTAAATATTCTTCTTTTAACAAAAAATAATTATAATTTTATTTTTAAAAATATAAATTTATATTTAATTATAAAAATATTGTTTATAATATTAAACAAAAATAAATTAATTATATATAAAAATTATTAAGTTTTATATTTTCTATATGCAAATGCTCTCCCAAAAGCTCTATATGAGAGCATTGAACAAAGAGCATTTAGAGAACATTTGCATTTGGTAAATGCTTTTCTAAATGCTTCTTTGCCAAATGTTGATTGGGTAATAGAGAGCATAATGCTTATGCTAATGCTCTACCAATCAACCCCTTAAACGGTCTTTACTGACAAAGACTTCTCGTTGAACTCTTATATAACCATGGTGGTATCTTGCATAGAACATACACTCGCAAATAGCTTTAGAATTTGTTTTTCCCCTGATTTGCTCTTTATCATATTTGCAATGGAAGGGAAGCGTTTCTTAGGCAATTACTTGATATGGGTGATATTACTGTGGGGGCAGCTACAAGGATGCAATACCTGCATTGTAAAAGAAAGAAAAGCTTTGTTGGAACTCAAGAGATACCTAATCTCGAAGAGTTCTGAATCCTTCTACAAAGAAGATACTGAAGTCGATTTTGTTCTCCCTACTTGGACAAATGACACAAAGAGCGATTGCTGCGGGTGGAAGGGCGTTGAGTGCAATCATACAAGCGGGCGGGTTATCCGGATTTCCATTGGTCCGATGTTCTTAAGAAATTCCTTAAATCTTTCTTTGCTGCATCCCTTTGATGAGATTCGAAGTCTGAACTTATCTCATTGCGGTATCACTGGCGTCTTTGATGATGTTGAAGGTATTAGGATTTTCACAATGTTGTGTGGTCTCTATTTGGAAACTTACAATAATGATACCCTTTTAATCTATGTTTATGCCATGTGCGCACAATTACACATCTGATGAGTAGTCATGCTTTCGATAGTTTGTTAAGGAGATTTAATTTTGCTTGCAGGTTATAAAAGCTTAAGAAAACTGAGTAACCTGGAGATTCTGGATATATCTTCCAATGGACTCGAAAGCAGCATCTTTCCTTTTCTGAGTGCCGTTACATCACTTACAACTCTTAATCTTCGCTCTAACTACATTAGAGGCCCTTTTCCTGTTAATGGTATGTTTGGTTAGGTCGTTTTCTTTGTCTTTTAAATTACAGTTGTTAGTTATCATTCTAATATTTCTCAATGGACTCCCTTTCAGAACTAAAAAACTTGACAAACTTGAAGGTGCTGGATCTGAGTCGAAGTTATTTTAACGATTCCATTCCAGGTAACATTCACGTTAGTTTTTATTTATCTTGAAAATATAACTTCCTATAGATTTAACTCGGTACATAATTGTTGATTTTCTATCTCAGTGATCTCACATATTCTTAAAACATTATTTCAGATCTAAGGAATTTTACTAACTTGGAAGTCTTGGGTCTTGCTAATAGCTTTGTTGATGTACCTAGACAAATAGAAGGTGACTATTGTTTTCCACACATCTACAATAATTATGAGAAGGGTCTCGTGACTTGTACAACTAAGATTATCGTTCTCACTATCTTGATGTTTACCGAACTATCATTTTGCAGTAGTTTGTGGAATGAAAAATCTACGGGTGCTTGATCTCAGAAGAAATAATGTTGTAGGCAAGCTTCCTCTTTGTTTGGGAAGCTTGAACAAGCTAAGGGTTCTTGACCTCTCATCCAATCAATTAATTGGAAGTCTACCATCTACTTTCAGTAGCCTGGAGTCCCTACAGTATCTATCATTGTTAGATAACAACTTCACAGGGTTATTCTCACTCAAACCACTCACCAACCTCACAAAGCTCAAGGTCCTCAAACTTTCATCAAGATCTGATATGGTACAAGTAGATACAAAGAGAAAATGGCAGCCAAAATTTCAATTGAGTGTTGCCGTACTACGATCTTGTAGCTTGGAGAAAATTCCTTCATTCCTTATATTCCAGAAGAACTTGCGTCTAGTTGATCTCTCCAGCAACAAATTATCTGGCCACATTCCTACCTGGCTACTGGCGAATAATTCAGAACTTAAAGTCTTACAGCTGCAGAATAATTTTTTCACAACCTTTCAAATGCCCTCAATAGTGCATACTTTGCAGGTTTTGGATTTTTCAGCAAATGAAATTGGCGGGATGTTCCCTAATAATATTGGCCATGCGCTTCCGGAGATGGTGGAGATGAATGGCTCTTTTAATGGGTTCCAAGGGGAGTTTCCGCCGTCTATGGGTGAGATGAAGAACATTTCATTCTTGGACATGTCTTACAATAACTTCTCTGGTAAGCTGCCAAGAAGCTTTCTTACAAGTTGTTTTTCACTAAAATATCTGATGCTCTCTCACAACAAGTTTAGCGGGGGCCAACTTCTTCCGAAAGGAACAAGCTTCACTTCCTTGCTCGTGTTGAGAATAGATAACAACTTATATAAAGAGGAGATTGGAGTTGGTTTGCGTAGGTCCACCAGATTGGAATTCCTTGACATGTCAAACAATTTACTCAAAGGTGCTATTCCAAGTTGGATATTTAAGTTATCTAATTTGGAATTATTATTTCTATCAAACAATTTCTTAGAAGGTACTATACCACTTTCCTTGGCGGACCACCAATCTCTTTATCTTCTGGACCTCTCTGGAAACTTATTATCTGGAGCCTTACCGTCACATATGGACCTGAGATACTTATTCCTCAACAGCAACAACTTCACAGGGTCAGTTCCTTCATTGTTGGAAAGTATCCAAATACTTGATCTTGGGAACAATAAACTCTCGGGGAGTATCCCGCAGTTTGTCAATTCCCACGACTTACGCATTCTTTTGTTGAGGGGAAACAATCTGACAAAAAATATTCCAAGGGAGCTGTGTGATTTGAGCACTATTCAAGTTTTAGATGTTTCAAATAACAAGCTCAATGGCTCCATACCTTCGTGCCTCTTTAATTTATCATTTGGAGTGCGAGAAGATATGTCGCGTGACTTTCGTTACGGGCTAGATTTTTCTCTGAAGCGCTTGAAGTTGGAATTTTACAGATTCACATTTGTGGTAGAGGAGCTTGCGTTACAAGAATATATCACTAAGGAAATTGGAATTGATTTTTTAGTGAAGAAAAGGTATGACTCTTATCTCTCTGGGGGAAGTAATTTCAGAAAAGGAATGATTGATTTTATGTATGGGATGGATCTGTCTAATAATGAAATAAGTGGTGACATCCCAGCAGAGCTTGGAGATCTCCCTAAAGTAAACGCCATGAATCTATCTCACAATTTCTTGTCGAGTTCTATACCTTCCAGCTTCTCCAATCTGAAGGCCATTGAGAGCCTTGATCTTTCTTACAACATGTTGCACGGAAGCATTCCTTACCAGATCAGCAGCCTTACATTTCTTGCAGTGTTCGACGTGTCTCACAACAATCTATCAGGCATCATTCCCCAAGGAAGGCAATTTAACACCTTCAACGAGAGAAGCTACTTAGGCAATCCTCTTCTTTGTGGACCACCGACCCATATAAGTTGCGAGGCTAAGAAGATCCCAGAGGAAGCAAATAATGGAGGAGAAGAAGAAGGAGATGAAGATTTTCTTGACATGCTGGTTTTCTATTATAGCACCGCTTCAACTTATGTGACCGCATTGATGGGCATTTTTTTACTTATGTGCTTTGATTGTCCTTGGCATCGAGCATGGCTCTGCAGTGTCGATGTTTTCATCGCTTTTGTAAAAAGATTGTTGCCTTAAAATCCTTTTATCTTTTAGTGTTTGGATATTTATATCCAAGGAAAAGCTTAAATCATATTTGTTTCTGCAAGTATTTGTTCTCTGGATTCCTACCCAAAATCTTGAATAAAAATATTTTATGTACTACACATATAGCATATGATTGTACTTATTGAATTAATTTATTTCGTTACGTATATATATATATATATATATATATATATATATGTTTTGCGTATGTCTCTATAATATTATTTGAGAAGTCAGTTTCCTACGTGTCGCTCTCACGTTAACTCTTACGATGGTTGATTACATAGATACCCTTAATGAATTGTTAGATTTTAAGTTTATTATTAATTTTTTTTATTTAGTTTCTTTTTTACTTTTTCCAAATAACATATACAATTAAAAGAAAATATTTCTAAAATTTTAAAACAGATTTGAAAACGAAAATATATGTATATAATATGACTTTATTAAAAAAGAAAGTTCACAAAATAGTAATATACACCATTAATATATATTTTTAAATAACATAAAATATATTTTCAAAATAATAAAAATATATATGTTCATGAACATCCAAAATTTATCAGTTACACTTTATTTTCTAATATTTTTTGGAAATCAACATATAATTTGATAAATATTATGAAAATGCTTGTATATTTAAATGATAAATAAAATTAATTTGATTTGAATTAACTAAAATAAGAAATAAATAAATATTATGAAAATACATGTATATTTAAGCGATAAATATAACTAATTTGATTGGACTTAACTAAAATAAAAAGTAATTATACTTCAATTTTAACTCAATATACTCACAACACGAATGACTCGACTAATCTAATTTATATCTCTATAATATTATTTGAGAAGTCACTTTCTTATGTGTCGTGCTCATGTTAACTTTCACGATGGTTGATTACTATGATACCCCTAATGAATTAAAAATATATTTTAATATTATTATTTCCTTTTCAAAATTTTCCAAATAACAAGATAAAATAAAAAGGTAACATTTATAAAGTTTACAAAACTATTTAAAACGAAAATATAAGTATATAGAAATATGGTTTCATAGAAAATGAAAGTTCACAAAATAGTAATATTTAATTTAAATATATTTTAAATAACATAAAATATACTTTTGAAGTAATAAAATACTTCATATCTATATCTTCTTAGATGAAAAACAATATTTTTATATAATGTGATTCCATAAAAAAATTCACACAACTAATCTTGATATTAGAAAAATAAATATTTTTTTTCCTTTAAAAAAATAATTTTAAACAATAATATATATATATATATATATTCAAAGTAATTATTTTTTGGTATATAACTATCTATTTTATTAGATGATTACATAAAATAATTAAGTAACATAAACTGATATATGTTTAATTGATTTTTTTTTATAATTTGTATTTTTGAAATATATATTTTTGATTTTTTTAGTATATTTATTTGACTATAATATCTCACAATACAACAAAACATATAAATTCTATTTTACTTATATAATATCATTTCTCTAAAAGAATAACATTTTACTGCATATTTTAACAGATATTAAAAACAAAACTAAAAATAAATTTTAATAATAAAATTTTTTTGATTGAATAACTACAATTATTTTAAAATATCATAACACTATATAATTTAACGAAGTAGATATAATATATTTTAATTTTTAAAATTATATGTTTTCTTAATAACTCTTTTGATTTTTAATTTTCTGTTTTTATGTTTGTGGAACTTAATATAACCATAATCAAAATACTTAAGTAAATATTGTAAATATTGTTATGTGTTCATAAGCTTCCAAAATATATTAGTTACTTATGTATGTAATTTAGAATCAGACAGTTTAGTTTTTATTTTTTCTTTCTAAGTACAAAAAATCTTAAGTTATACATAATCTTACTAGATATACTTATATTTCTAAGATAACAACCGACATAAATGCAAATATGACAATTAATCAAAAATTTAATATATTTAGGATAAAAAGATTATAATTGAATTCAAAGAAACAAATAGAATCTAATATATCCAAATGATAACTAAATCAACCGTAAAAACAATAAAACTGAAAAAATAAACATATCTAAAACTATATGTATAATTAAATTAATATAATATTATTAATATAAATTATACCTACAAATTATAAACTAATTTAAAGTAAATATCAATAAATTATTATAATATCTTTATTTTATAAATATTTATGTCCGTGCATGAGCACGGGAAAATCACCTAGTTTTACATATAAATCTTAAGCTACACATACATCATATACGATTGCGTGTGTTTATTTGACTTACTTATTTGTGGTGTATATACGATTACAAGTCTTTTTAATCATCGATTTAAGAGTTGATTGTTTTTTTCAAAAACTGCAAATCATGATTTTCGTTAAAACCACAAAATCATGTTTTCTGAAAACGAAACGTATCTATACTATTATATGCGAAGTGATTTTTCGCAACGGAGCTCTCACGTTAAAAGTTGGAGCGGTTAATATCGTTTATACCCTTAATAAATAAAATATATAAATCAACCAAAAATAAAAACGAATTTAACACTTATTTGATTAGATAAATAATTTAAATTAATAATAATTATAAGAGTTATCCATAATCTATATATATATATATATATATATATTTAAAAATAAAATAAAAAGATAATTCCTATATATATTGTGTTGTTATCTGAAAAATATATTTTAATAAAAAACAGAAAAACATAAACAAATATTCAAAACAGAAAAAACATAAACAAATATTCATAAAGTAAAATTTTTAGTTGTATATAATTGAAAAGAGAAAATCTATACTATTATTTGCGAAGTGTTTTTTCGCAACGGAACTCTCACGTAAAAGTTAGAGCGGTTAATATTGTTTATACCCTTAATGAATAAAATATATAAATCAACCAAAATAAAAACGAATTTAACACTTATTTGATTAGATAAATAATTTAAATTAATAATAAGGATAAGAATTATCAATAATGTATATATATATATATATATATATATATATATATATATATATATATATATATTTAAAAACAAAATAAAAAGACAACTCCTATATATATTGTGTTGTTATCCAAAAAATATATTTTAATAAAAAACATAAACAAATATTCATAAAGTAAAATTTTTAGTTGTATATAATTGAAAAGAGAAAATTGAAAATTAATAATATGTAATTATATTCAAATTAAAAGAATATAATAATAGAATATAATGATATATATATTTGTGAAATTATTTCTTGCCTCTGAACTCACACGTTAAATTAAATTTATTTTATATTTTATATAGTTAAACCTTAAACATGAATTAATCATAATAAAATAAAATATCATTCAAAAAGAAAGAAAATATGTGTTTGACAAAAATAAATTCAAATAGATTGTATTATTATCCAAACTAATATTATTCTTTCTGTAAGATCAATTTTTGAATGAATATTTATCTATTCAATTTTCCAAATTGAAAGATAGATTTCTATATTTTTATCAATTAAGAAGAAATAAAATAGACTTCAGATTTTTCAAAGTTAAAGGAAAAAATAGATTTTTTTAATCTGTGAATAACTTTATCATGTAAAAAAATTTAATGTTTTAGTTCGAAGTTTTTGAATGCAAATAATCATTTATTTTGATGATATTTTAAATTGACTTAAAGATAATTAAGCCCGCATGTGCGGGCTAAACACCTAGTTCTCATTAAAACCATAAAATATTTTTCTCACTAAAACCGTAAAATCAATTTTCTTCTGCCAAAACTATAAAATTATGGTTTCTAACTAAAACCGCAAAATCTAATTTTCTCGTTGAAACAAAAAAAAATCATATTTTTTTATCGAAACCGCAAAATCATATTTTTCGCGAAAAAGTGAAATTGCAAAATAATGAAAATTTCAACCTATTTTATAAATTAAAAATTTAGAATATTTACATCTTTTACAATAAATTCAAGTATTTACACTAAATGGGGTTTGGATTCCATAGGCAGCCCAATTAATCATCTTAATTAATCATGATCCTATTTGGATATGGTCTTATTTGAACATGGTCCTATTTGTGTATAGACTAAAACTGTCCAACAAAAAACGTCCATCTGGACACACCCAAATGAGCCCAGCCCACCCATTAACATCCCGAAATTCAAGTCAGAAAATAATTTACATCTAATAAACAAGCATGGTCCAAGTGAAAAAAATGTCAACATTCAACAATCATGGTTCAAGTAAGAGAAAGTTCGACATTCAACAAACAACACAACCTTTGAGGATCTGTATGTTTAAGTACTTAGATTCCGAATGGGAAAAAGGGAATAAAATTGGATCAAGAAAATAAATGAAACATCATGTCCATTCTTGTTATTCAGATTCATATTTGTTATTTAACTAATTAATCTATTATTATCATTTCAAAAATGTGTACAAGACTCACAAAGTGGAGGAATCTCGTGTTTTTATTGGTAAAAGGTATTTCTTTATTTTTGGTTTGCCATCTACAATTTTTAACTGCTTGTGTATGATCTATCAAATTCTTACATTGCATCATTATTACATGAATGAGAGTGAAAGGAAAAAAATTGGGAGAATGAGTCGTGGGCAAGTTATTAATTTTGAGTGTGGTCATAGTGAAGTTATAATTTGCAAAGAAGATCACTTCAATTTTTTGACCCAATGCAAAATTCTCATAAATGTCATTTCAGTCTTTTGAGAAACACAAATATTAAAAAGAAAATAAAATAATAAAAAAGTATCTTACTTTATTTGACTAAACTTTTAGGTCAGCTCCAATGGTAGGTTGTGGACAGAATTTTTAATAACTAAAGAAAATGAAAAACAAATAAAATTGGAGAGAAAGTTAAGAACTGATTCCAATGAAAAACTTTTAGAACTGGTTCTAAACTCCAAACATATGTCAATTAATCAAAACTTTCAAATGATTTTGCAGAATTAAAACATTCAAATTAT